TGTGTTTTGGGATGTTTTTTATATAATAATATAAATATCACGCTTATTTTTGGGAAGGTATTATGGACATGAAAGCTAGAATACAAATTCTTGATATAACAGCCAGCAAGTGGTAGGAAAACACGTCCACCCGTTTAATAATTCACATATGGGACGTATGGTGTCATGATTTGTGAATGGATCTTATTATTTTGTTAACATTGTGTTCAAGACCTATCCGGCGTGTCAACAGAGGGTATTTTATCAGCATCGCATGATATCTATATTCAATCCTGGCAACTACTAGAACAACGTAATGTACAACGTAATTGTCACATATCCATTTGAATAATTAACTAAATGTCGTGCAAATAAATATATCAAGTTAAAATACGAACGGCATCCCGACGCTACCCGAGATCCACGGTGAACGAACTACATCGTAGTTGATATATTCTTCGGTAAAATATTGTATTAATCATAATTATAGATGAAAACAGTGCACAAGAAGGACTATTTTTTCCGAGGCTCTGTACCAACTTTCTGTTAACTGGCATGGACATTTATTAACTGTGTGTTCAACTTAGGCATCCCTCGAGGCGCCAATTAACTGCATTCTGGCTTCCCACAGGGCCTAATGTCATGGTTGACATAATTTATTGTGAAAATTCTAACTCTAAACAGCAATGATTGGTTTTAGTTTTTCGAGAGACGACCTTTTTGTTAGATTTGAAGTGTTGCTCCTGACAAGAATTTTGCTCAAATTTAGCATTTCTGTTTCACTTTTTATTCTAGCGATGAAATCTATGACATTTTAAAGAATGTTTTACCGTCGCGGTGTATGCAGCATAATACAAAACCTTGCACAGAAACAGGTTGTAATGGACCGCAAATTTCAGGCAGATTTTATTTGACATTCTCACAAAAATATATTTGAAAGTGTGTACATCGACTTAGTTTTTAAAGCTGGGGAGTGGTCGCCTGCGCATGCGTAAGATAGCCATAGCGTGTCATTTCTTTAAAAAAAGCGTCCAAC